GTCTCATCCTACCCAAAGGCTACCATTACACATGACAAAGGAAGGAAATTGAAGTAATTTCTGTTGCCTCTGTTCTTTATTAATAATTATTAATTTTTAATTTATAAACTTTAATCCATCCTTTTGTAAAAGGATAAAGCAGTAAATCTTAAAAACATTTTTACCTTTTTTCCTACCATGTCTTTATACAACAAAGTTTTCAAAAACCATGCATAAATTTTGTTTCTGGCACACACTTCCCTGTTTTATCAGCATTTGAAGTAATTAAGGGCCAGAACCTGCAGCCATCACCAGCACAAGCTGCGCTTCAGCAGAGCACATGTGCATATGTTTCTCTTTAAGCATATAATTAAGTCGATTCTTGTTCAACAAAGCATATAAGCAAAAGCTGTATACTGTAAGCTGTGCTCACTTCCATGAGTCATCTTTTTTATTTAAATATGATTAATAAAGATAGAAACATGCTGCCTAACAGTGGTTTGAGGAGGAGAGCCTCAGGCAGCGTGCCTAAAGGAGCTTTTCCTCGTAACAAGCCAAGAGAGCAGGGGAGACAAACATCCAGGAGGCAGAAGAGGTGGCGAACAGCACCCAGACCAAATTAACCTTCCTGGCCCAGAAATTACCATGTGCCGAGGTTGCTGCCCAATGCCAGAAGACAGACCTGCAGTCTTTAGATATCTGTCGTCACAATGCTTGCAGCTAAAATACTTGTAACTCCCCAGCCCTCTATACCCAGACCTGTCCCCACTGCCCCGTCACACAGTAACATCAGTGCAAGTCTGTCTTGGTTACCTCAGATCCAGCTGGGTGGGGGGAGACGCCCCGCACCCCAGCCTTAGGTGCTTCTGAACAGTTGACCAGTCTTGAATATATACATATGGCCCTCAAACCTTCCTAGTACAGCTCAGACTTGAATTAAGTTACAGAAGCATATATGCCCCAAATTCTCTCTTCTCCTAGAGCGAGGAATACTTGGAGCATACCTGCAGACCTTGAGTGCAGCAATCACCAGGGGCCTCTAGCGCCTCCCCTCTCCCCTACGCTGCACTTCCTAGGAGCGCTTGGCTCTACACAGGTCTCCGCTCCTCTGGATTTTTTTTTTTTTTTAAATTTAGAATGGAAAGGAATGGAAAGCACAAGGGAGCCAACTGCCCTTTGCCTAGAGGAGGAGGTCTGGCTCCAGGAGTCATGGAGTGCGAGGGCAGGTCTTTTTGGGTCCAAGGTTGCATGCGCAGGGGAAGGAAACTCCACCTGCCAACTTCAGAGGAGGAGGAACTAGCAGAACAGAGGCTGTTTTTAAATAGGCAGATTTACCAAATTGCCTCCCACAAAGCTCTGTCAAGACATTTATTTGCAAAAACTTAGCTGTTTTGATTCACCCATCTTTCCCACTGGAACTATTCCATTATGGATAAACACCCACATATTTGTTCATGCACATATAGAGAGAGAGAGCGCGAGCAGGCGCGAGAGGCAGAAACAGCCTGCAGGCTGGGTCTATTTTCTGAAATGGAGACAAGCAGGTTCCAGTTCCAACTGTGAGAAACAGCAGGATTTTGACCCCTTGGTCTCTTACCTCCCCAACAGTCACTCCATGCACCAGACTGCTGGCTACTCTGAGGCTGGCTAGGGTCACTTGCTTTGAAGAGAAAAGCTATGAAAAGCTTCCATTTCAATTAACTGACTTTCATTTCAGTTGTTTATCTTCAAAGGAAAAAAAAAAAAATCATCAAGAAATCCTGACCCAATTATTGTACACATGAAAGAAGCCTTTGTAGCAAGTGTAATATTCCTAAGAGGTGGTTAATGAGAAACATGTATCAGAGCTTAACCAAAATGAGTCTTTGATGTTGGTTAGCTTACCTGTTGTGACTTTAAAGAAAAAGATCTCAAAGGGAGAGAGAGTGAGCATACACTGCACCTCTGCTGGGGGCTTTTACCACTGGTTAAGCCAGTCTCCTGGGCTGCTACACTTCAATTCGTGCTGAAGCTCTCTGAACAAGGCACAGGCCCCCGCGCACACCCACGCCAGGAGACCTGCAGCCTGAGGAGTCCAGTTCCACCAGCTTTGCCCAGAAAGGACCTCTCTCCAGCCAACTGCAGGGAGCTTTGATTTCCATAGGTTTACTTCAGCACAAATCCATTCAGGTCATGCTGTCTTTAACATAAACTAAAAGATGTTCACAGTGGGGAAAAAATAATAGTAATAATTAAATGCCTGGAAAAAATGCAGCATGTTTTTGTTTCCAGCACACTGAACTCAACTGAACCAAGAAAACGTAAATAAATTTCTAATAAATGTAAGTTATTCGCTAGAACTGCTTTGCTTAGGCGGTCTTGAAAAACGCAGCAACAGAGGGGGGTTGTGCGTGAATGCCATTTGATTAGGATGAGCACAGCAACACCACAGCTGAGCAAAGATCCAAGGAAAGCTCCTTCTTTGCAAAAAGCAGAGGGAATTTCTTTTGCCTTAGGCTCTCCAGCTTGCTTAAACTTCATTTTTCCCTCATATCTTTCTATTGCTTGACTGACAGAGAGAGAGTCCTCCCTCCCATTTCAATTTATTGTAGCCACAGGAATGGCGGCAACTACAAGTTCACATGTGTTTGTGAACATACGGTAACCACAGCAGGAATTTTTTTCTCTGCAATAAAACCTTTTCCAAACCCACACTATAACACGGCCACACAATTCGCATGCAGCACCCTGGTCATGAGAGAAAGAGATACATGACCAAGAATTGTGACAAGAAATCGTACATCCTTTTTTCATTTTTACGTATTCACTGTATACTGATTTGAAAAGGTTCAAAAAAAAAAAAAACACCAAGCCAAAAAACCCCAAAAAACCTCCAAAACAGTTTCACATTGCTTTATCAAAATAACTATTTTTCAAATGCAAAAGCATCTGAAAGGCTAAAAGGGTTTTCTTGTTACTGGCTTAAAAGTAATTTTCATAGCCGAGTACATTATTACTGTTTAACACAGAAACAAATGCACTTTACTGTGCGAATATCTAACACGTCGTGTGACAGCAAGTAAAAACATACCAAGCTGCCAGCCCCCAGGAGAGCCAGTAGGGCTGCCTTGCTCCAAGAGAGTTCGCGAACACTCCCTGTAAATCACCAGCCGTTGTGTCATGCCTTTATGACAAAATGATTGAAATCTGAGCATTATACCAGCTTGTACTTGAACTTGGCTTAAATGTAGCTCAATTTGCAGGTTTTGTACTTGCTGTAAATAGAGGCAGAATTTGTTTGAACCTTATTAACACCCACAGGAGAGCCAGAATTTAAAAAAAAAAAAAAAAGGGGGGGGGGGGGGGGGGAAGGCAGGGAGGAAAAAGACAAGGATGAAGACAAGAAATGAGCTTCATACTCCAGGACGTGATGAAAACCTTGCCATTGAAATGCTGTCATTTCTAACACCTGCCAGTCCCATGCCAGAATTCAGTTTAGGAAATTTATAGAGAACTGCCTCTCTGACATTATATTAGAGCATCATGGACAGTGTTTCCCAAAACAAAGTTCTCGTAAAACGTGCCTTTTGATTTTTCATTGCAATGCAAATGTGCTTTGATTCATTTTCCAATGCATTCAAACAATTCTTGCACGGAGGTCTCTCTCTTGTGGCACAAACAGCAGCTCAGAACAGGGAACAGCAGAGATTAAAATCTCCTTTTAACCACAGAGCTCCCAGCAGTCCTGCACGCTCCCAACACAGTCTAGACACCATTTCTCTGAGGAAGCTGGGAATGACAAACTTCGATCTTTCTGTCAAATTTGACAACAAGGGAGCTGTGTACTGCACAACTGCATTTACAGGTATCTGAACTCCCCTGTCTTGTGCAACGTAAGCAATAGAACAATCTTCCAAACATACCTGGTTGATGGAGGACAAGGCACCGTGGGCTTTGCAGTGGGAAAGAATGACGCTTTAACTTAAAAGCCCTACAAGACATAGAGGTTTAACAATTTCCAGCCACAGCCAGACCTAAGACTAGACTCATGGCCCTGGCAGTACTCAGTACCAGATGTTTCTGAGACTGTGTTAATACAGAGAAGAGGGACAACTCGCTCTCCATGGTAGCTATAACTGAGATTTGTTCAAGACTGAAAGCCTGAGATGTTAGTGGCCCCTTCATAAAACCTGACAACTTCTTGCTGCAATGGATCAGCTGTTTTAAAAGAAAATAAAGATGCAATGTGAAACTTTCCAGGAAAGGCCCCAGGACTGAGCTTACACATATAACACTAGTTTAGTCTTCCAACACGGGCGCATTGCGATACAGTCTCGACACACTACTGCATCATCCTGGTTTTCAGAAAACCCTACTTCATCCTGTGCCTAGGATGAACTGCATTCAGATAATGAGCACCTACTTAATTTTGTTTAATTTTGAATCAGAAAGCTGTGCTCCTTCTGGGTGCTTCTCACAGTAGGATTCAAGATCACAGTCCAAAACAATTTTTGCAGAAATAGCTGAGAACTTCAAGATAACAAAAGTACTCCTTGCCTGCTTCAATGCAAAGTCATCTAGCTTAATATGTGACCGTATAACCTGAAGGCTGACCTAGCTGACTTTGCACTGAAGCAGATGAAGAGCACTGGCGTGATCCATGCTGCTGGGATGAGAAGATGCGGCCTTCAACACACAGGAAATAAGAAGCTGACAAGGAAACGTGGGAAAGGAAGACAGCATCTTAAAAAGCAGGGCAACCGTTCCTAAACTGCACAAATACTCCATGGCAGTTACACTCATGCTTTCAATCCCAGCTGCTCCTCAAACATTATTCTGCCTGGCACATCACCAGTCTCACAAACGGGGATAATCTAGGGCACCCAGGACCAGTCATCTCGCCCTCCCAAGGGTATCACATAAAACTTCCTATTTTTAAAACAAAAAAAGGTCCTGATTTGTGCCACAACTGTAAGTGTTTAGAAAATAAAGTGGGTTAGCAAAAGACTCAGGAGAAACGTGGGTTAAGTGACTTAACTCACCGTTGTGGAGAAACTCTGTGGCAAAGGCAGGCAAAGATGCCAACGTCCACGTGCAGCATCCAACCGGCTGAGCGCTCAAGCCAGGGCTCCTCCTCACTCGGTATCTGCCTTTCGCTTTCTGCAATAAACAAGGCAAAGACCTCATTTCAAAATTAAATGACAGCCTTTCACACGGTCTTCCTTCCTCCATTAACTTGGTCACTGCATTACACTGAATAAACTGGGGATTCGGTGGCAACTGAATCTGTGGCAGTTGTGGAAACCGATACGAGTTTAAAGACCGCCTCAGGGTGGTTTGCCATCTTGCTGCTTAAAAAAAAGAAAACGTAATTTACACAAACAGCTTTAGCTGCAGCATTTTCTAGATTTTAGTTGCTTGACTTCACAAGTTTAAAGGCAATCCTTACAAAGTACAGAATATAGCTCCAAACTTCTACAGATTACAGTTTGTATTTTAAGGATAATTGTTCTGATAAAACAATATAATACTCTCCGAGGCACAATTTAAAACTAATCACATTTCACAAATGTGATAGCTCTATAATCATGATTTGATTATACAGAAAAACAGAAATATTATTGGCATACAAAATTGAGATCCAGTATTTTAATGCTGTCTAACAAACCAGTTTGTAACAGCTTTTTATTGTTTTCTATTGAAGTTAGTATTTCTTTTCAAAAAGTAAAGTTTATGATTTTTTTTCAATGCATGCAATACACTTGAAATTAGAAACCACATACTGGGTAAAGAGCAGAAACAAAACACATGTAAGCACAAAGTTACCGCCACAGTGCTTTTTCTGAGCTCCTTTTGAAAAGAGCATCCCCTAGCTGCAGTGGAGACACTGCAGGAGCATCCTGGCATAACAAAGCCAGTAGAGAAAGACAGGAGGGAACATGGACGAGACCAAGGGAGAAGGAGCCAAATCATTTTGAAGATCGAGGTACACTGCCAATTGTAAAATTACGTCTTGGGTCAGTTATTATGCAAAGCACGCTTTTGCTTTTAAGATAATTTCAGTGGTGAAGCAGGAAGGCCTTGGCACTGCTACACCTTTCATCTTACTTCCAGCTTACATCACCTTCACCGCATCTTTGGAGCGGTGTGTTAACGCAGCTAACCCGAAGCAAATTAGTGATACATTAGTCAACAGATAACACCATCCAGGACAGCATGAGACCTGGGAGCAGGCTCAGCATCGTTAGAGAATTCGAATCAGCAAAGACAACACACTACTCAGCCTGAAATTTATCCGACAGACGCTGCTGAAATACCACAGCAGCCTCCCTGGCAGCAGTTCCCTGGTCCCACAGGGTCAGGCGCATGCTCCTGGGTAGCGCTTTATTACTGGGAGACGCATGTGAAGTACGTGGCTTTGTCTGCTGCAAGCTTATCCCTTGTCCTGTCACACCAAGCTTCCAAGTGAACCCCTTCCACTGCAATGACTTCTCCCCAGAGCATAATTCTCGGAAAGTCTCCAACTAAACAAGCTAGGCTATCGATGAGCAATTCAGTGAGCTAAGCATGAATATCACAGACCAACTGAAAATATACTTGTAGTTTCTACTGGAAATAAATAGAGTTGCAACAGAAGAAATTTCATTTACCAAAATATATTTAAATTCACTGTCTTGAGAGAGTTGACTATGTACAGGTGACTGGACTATACTAAATACAAAAGACTCAAGCCCAGACACTGTGGCAACCATATTTCCATTTGGAAATACAGGTTTGATTTAAAAAGGACTCTTATTTGCAGACTAAAGCTTTCAAAGGTGATTTTACTGATTCTCACAGATCTCCTTGTTGACAATCTCTGTAATCAGTACACAGGAACGTTACAGTAAGCGTGATTTTCGTGACTGTTATCAACTTCACAGCATTAGTTCGCAACTTACTACAGATATCAAGCCAAACCTATTCCTAGTCTATCTCTGAAAACCCAGAGCCCATACACATCTAGCTCTTCTCTCTCTGTAAAGAAACAGAGACGTGATGTTTGTATTGCAGCCATCTCCAAATGAAGTGTGTTGATTTTACAATGGATTAAAAGGGCAGGGGCGCAGCAGCTGCCAAACACTGCTCGTAACAGCAGACTTCAAGGTGGCTAGTTTATAGCACAGCCCTATGGATACAGTGCTGCTCTATTATTAAAGAAGTTGGCTGAAAAGCTCAGCAAGCGTCTCTCTACACACGACGTTGTTATAGGACAAGGCAGAGTTCAAAAAAATCAACACACAGAGGTACTGCCAGGGCTGCAAAGGCCACATGACAGCACACCTCAAGTAAAGCACAGAGAAATGACAAGCTGGTTTCCCAAAAGCCTAAGATGACTTGAATACCTTTCCTACCTATAAGGACTTCTAATCGTTTCAACCTCCATCAGAGAAATCAAAGCAACACACAGTCTTGAGCAAAAAGATGACAGAGATGCAACAGCTATAGAATAGTAATTGTGTAAGGGGGGTGGAATCAAAATATTTCCAAGACAGCATCAATCCATTCAGACTGCCTTGTTCAATAAAGAAGAGTTATCTCACAGCCTAGACTTTTGTCTGAGGCATTATTTTGCCTGCTTATTCCAGGAGGCCGGCAGGAGTTCTTAAGGCTTTTTACAGACATCTCAGATCTTTCCGCCTCCAGAGAATATATTCATCGCTTTTCCTACGCTACTCTGACTGCAATCTCAACTTTGTACACATACAAAAAAAATCTGTAAATAAGTGCTCTGAAGGTCTACCTGAGTAACATGTTTTAACAACCGTGCAGGGGAAGAGCAAGGGCATCAAAAGCAGCACCACAGCCATGGCACACCACAGGCAGAAGAAAAAGGCGCCAAGGCAATGCCCCTTCCTCTCCCAGGACTGCGTGAGACCGCTCTGCACTTGGCAGCACCCCACATCACTGCACCAGACCACATCCAAAGCACAGAACAGCATCACAACACAGAAACAGGCATAACAATATAAACATTCTATATAAATATTGCACATTGTGTAATTAATATAAAATATGTGCATCATACAGCTATAGGGTGGGAATCTTCAGCTGGCAGCCCAACCCTGCCCCACCAGCCAGCCTCAGACGCTACCCCAGGCCCCTGCCGCGTGCCCCTCGCTGGGCTACGTGGGCCGCTGCGAGGAAGCAGGCTCAGCAAGGACCAGAGGGTTCAGGTGCCTGGCTCACACCGGAGCCAGCCCTACACTGGCCCCACAGCTGCAGAGGGGCCTGAAGCACACCCCCGGGGCTGGCCATGGCTGCATGGCCCAGGCAGGCCTGGCTGCCTCCTGCAGGACAGGGGAGAGACGCAGCTTTGCTCTGGGCGTCTCCAGTGCACAGTCACCTAGGCAGCTCCTGCACATCGTGTTTCCCCTTTAGCAATCTGTGCCCAGACTTTAGGTATTGGGAGGCGTATGTTCTTTACTGGATCTAATGCTGGATCTCACATGCTTGGGATTGACGGCAAGAAGGGAATACTCACAGCTTTTTGCTGGGTTCTGCGTAAGGAGCTTGGGTCTTGGTACAGTTAAAGACAGGAACCAGCAGGAAACTTTCTCACAAGGAAAGATTGAAGTTACATGCAATGACTTTTAGGGTGAGGAACAACCTGGTATCCATGTGGAAAGGAAGTGAAGTAATAAACTGGGAGAAATATTTATGATGTGCAATTTATCATGCAGCAAACCTAACACAGCAGCAGAAGCAGGCGAGGGCCAAAAAGGAGCCTCTGAGCCATGAGGAAACAACAATACTGCAGAGCGGCCAATGTTTTTTTTGTTGCTGTGGTGTGTGGTGGTTTTTTTTTTTTTTTTTTGAAAAGATATTTTAAGATTAGGTAGCTCCTCACACCACATTGCCTCTAGCGCTCTAGCCTTGCTAGAGGCAACGGCAGACATACCTGCATTATCCTCATTCAAGCATTCAGCTGCCAAAAAAGCTGCATCAGATGAGCTATAAAAAGCAGCTCATGGTTATATTGATTTGTAACAAGCAGGACACAAACAGCCCTGGCACAATTTGTAGGAGACTCTTCAGTACAAACCTTATGGTTGGATTTAGGGAAGGGTTCACAGCTGTTCTTGCACTATACATATTCATCAACTCTTGCCTAGCCAGAGCACAGCAAACTTGCCTTGCAATGTGCAAATTTAAACTTTCTGGGAGCAGGATTTATTTTAGGCAGCTGTGGCCAAGGACCAGGGAGGACCAGATGACGGGAACGAGCAGAAGGCAGACGAGAGACTCTTCGTGCTTCCAAAAAGCTCCCCTTTTTCAAGGCACCATATGCACAGTGAGAGATTCTCCCCAGCATCCCTGCACGGCAGGAAAGTGTCAAGCACAGACCCTCTTTTCCGATCGAGTTTAAGAGCTCACACTGGTTTGCTTTTCCTAGGTGTGAAAGCAGAAGACAATTGACCACGATGATCACTATATTCAGCATCTGCTAAGCGACTCCCACGTTGATCCTTGTAGATTCTCAAGCGCTTGGCCAGCCCTAACCATGGAGGCATACCAGCCTGGGGAGGGAGGAGAGGTAACATTCCCGCCCGCTTCACCTGACAAGCACCACTCCTGGAGCAGAAGGCCCCTCTCCTATTTGCAGGCCCCTTCATGAGAGACTCACGGGCAGAGTCATTTTCCCTTCACAGACAATTATTGGCAATGAATCGTTTACAAAGAGGAAAATGAGACACTGAAGAGACTGTTATAGAATTAAAAATGATGGTCCTGATGTTTATCCTTTCCCAGTTTTCCCCCTAATAAAATTACACAGGATTCTTCCAAGACACAAGAAACTATTGCTGGTGATTAAGTTATCTTCAAACATTTGCAGATAAGTCTGAAACATTTGGAGAATGAACACACAGTTAGGGGTAGGAAGAAGAAGACAGGAGAAAAGCAAGCCTGTACCAAGACTGTGTTATTTAATTTTGTTCCAACTACAGAGTTGATTCCTAAAACTGCATTGTCCATCTAGCAAAGTGTTAGTTTTCTTAATGTGCATTTTTACGGGAAACAAAAAACCCCTTGTCTCATATAGCAAGCAGAAAAAAATATTTGATTAAAATTGGGATGACATGAAGAGATTTTGCTTTCAGTCAGTTCAACCGC